ATATGTATATTATAATTCATATGCATAGAATCAAAATATAAATGGAATTAGTAAATAATGGATATCATTCATAAATGATAAGTAAATGATAATTTCAGTAGAAAACATTCATGTAATTAAATGTTAGTATATTTCTAATACTATACTATTAGAAAATAATGTCAGCTTAGCTGTTCGACTGAATTAGTTGGAAAAGTGCGGACGCTCACGACGACACACTCGTTGCAACATGATGTCGAGCAAACACATGGAATGAAAGTTATTCTTCTCGTTAAACGCTGCAACCAGTCAAGCTGAAAGGCAGATTAAATGTGAAAGATGTCTAGACTATAATTAATATCACTATTTCTGATTGAAAGTGGGAGTCTAGACTTAATAAAGACTAACTTTGTTTATGATGTTATTGCGTTGCATAACGTACTAGTAACCTACACATGAAAATGTTATCAAAGTGCACTCTATAACAAATATCATTAGGAAACTAGAGGAATTATGCTCGCCGGAGCTTGTGTTGAATGCAGATGAAGATCTCCACGAACTCTGGCACCCGGTGTTGCAAGGATGACGTAAATATGTCGTTAAGTAGGAGTTCTGCAGCACAGTAACTTTGGCAAGATGAATGCCACGCTTCCGCTCTATGTAATGGCGTCCCAGCAAGTTCTGACGCTGCTCTCCCTCCTCCTCCTTCCTAATCCCGATTGCGCATGTGCGGCTCTCGGTACCTCGAGCGTAAAATGAATTTATGTATATCGGAGTTAATTAGGGAAGGAAGAGATTGGGACGAGTATTTATGTCACGTTTAAATCTTTCATGTCATAATATAACCTCTCGCAGCGTAAGTCGGTTGATTAAAGCTGCGTAAATAAATGAGGAATATAAAGTGGAATTATTTTAGCTTTTAATAATTTCCACTGGAGTGGATAATTTTAACTAAATAAGTGAGTTCCAGTAAGCAGTAATGTGCTACGTAAATAAACTTATTATACAGCGATTATCCTTAGTGAAGGAAAGTAATAAATTGGACTCTATTTAAACCCAACAATGTGGAGATATTGCCTGGTGATGCCTGTCTGAACACGAGTAGGAAAGATTTGGCCAAATATTGTGCATTATAAAATCATGATTATAGTTAATTTTACAAGTTAGTAATTTTTAGTAAATACTTGTGATTAATACAAAAATGTTGTATAAAATACAAAAGATGTATGAAAACTGTTGGTTATTTCCAGCATACCAATATACACTCGCTCAGTATCCATGCATGCACTCACTAACTACTAATACTTTCTTGCACACTACCAATTCACATGCCCACTACCAATACACTTGCTCACTACCAATACACACGCCCACTCTCCATACACTCATTCACTACCATACACTCGCTTACTTCCCATACACTCGGTCACTACTCATTCACTCTCTCACTACCCATACTCTCGCCCACTACCAATACATTCGCTCACTACCATTCACTTGCTCACTACCGATACACTTGCTCACTACCAATACACACGCCCACTACCCATACACTCGCTCACTACCCATAAACTCGCTGACTTCCCATACACTCGCTCACTACCCATACACTCGCTCATTACCTATACACTCGCTCACTACTCATACACTCGCTCATTACCATATACTCGCTCACTACCGATACACCTGCTCACTGCCCGTACACTTGCTAACTTCTAATACACTCTCTCACTACCCATACACTCGCTTACTATCCATACACTCTTGCTCTACCAGTATACCCTCTCAATACCCATACACTCGCTTTCAACCCATACAAACCCCCACTATCCATACACTCGCTCACTACCCATATACTCGCTCACTTCACATTAACTCTTTGACTATCTATTCACTCGCTCAGTACTCATACACTCGGTAACTTCCGATACACTCGCTCACTACTATACACTCACTCACTACTGATACACTCCCTCACTACCCATACACTACCTCACTACTTATACTGTCGTTCATTACCCATACTCTCACACTCGCTCACTACCCATACACTTGCTAGCTACCGATTCACTGCCTCACTTCCTATACACTCACTCACTATTAATACACTCACTCACTATAAATACACTCAATCAATAATAATTCACTCATTCACAACTAATACACTCGCTCACTACTAAAACATTCGCTCACTACTAATATACTCTCTCACTACTAATAAGCTCGCTCACTTCCCATACACTAGCTCACTACCCATACACTCAATATGCATACACTCCGTTAATACTAATACACTCGCCAATTATCCATACACACACCCACTACCTATATACTCGCTCACTACCCATGCACTCGGTCAATACCCATTCACTCACTCAGTATTCATGAATAAACTTGCTAACTTCTACTACACTTACTCAGTACCAATACACACGTCCACTACCCATACACTCGCTCACTACCCATACACTCGCTCACTACCCATACACTCGCTCACTACCCATACACTCGCTCAGTACTCATACACCCACTCACTAATAATACACTCGCTCACTACCCATACACTCGCTCAATACTCATACACCCACTCACTAATAATACACTCGATCACTACCCATACACTCACTCACTACCCATACACTCACACTCCCTCACTACCCATGAACTCTTTCATTATCATACACTCATACTCCCTCACTACCCATACAATCGCTCACTACCAATACAGTCGCTCACTACATTACCCTTGTTCACTACCCATACATGCACACTAACTCATTACCAATACACTCACTTACTATCCATACACTCGCTTTATACTAATGCACTCTCTCAATAACCATACACTCACTCACTATCCATACACTTCCTCACTATCTATACACTACCTCACTACCATACTCGGTTACTTCCCATACACTCACTCACTACTAATAAACTCACTCTTTACATATACACCCACTCACTACCCATACACTCACTACGCATACACTCGCCAACTACGCACACACACGCCCACTACCCATACACTCACCAGCTACGAACACAGTTCCTCACTACCCATACACTCCCTCACTACCCATATATTCACACTCCCTCACTACCCATATATTCACACTCCCTCACTACCCATATATTCACACTCGCTCACTACCCATACACTCTCTCACTATCCATATACTCGCTCACTACCCATACACTCCCTCACTACCCATAAACTCGCTCACTACCCATACACTCGCTCACTACCCATAAACTCGCTCACTACCCATACACTCCCTCACTACCCATAAACTCGCTCACTACCCATACACTCCCTCACTACCCATACACTCGCTCACTACCCATACACTCCCTCACTACCCATACACTCGCTCACTACCCATACACTCCCTCACTACCCATAAACTCGCTCACTACCCATACACTCGCTCACTACCCATACACTCGCTCACTACCCATACACTCTCTCACTATCCATACACTCGCTCACTACCCAGTGTCACAGGTTCCAGGGCGGTTGGGTTGATACACAAACAATATTTTCCTCACACAAAAACACGATACATTAAAGTGCGGTAGAGGGAGGTTATGTGCAAGGTGGCTCAGTTGATGTGAAAGACAAACACTTTCCTACCCAATATAGCTACACTATTGAGTATAAACCCAAATTGGATACAGGTAATTTGGGGTTACACCTAAACACAGCTGTTGTTTTACTTTTGTTGCAGTCAAAAAGGGTGACTGTGGGTACAGCTACCAGTAAGCTGGGTGACTGTGGGTACAGCTACCAGTAAGCTGGGTGACTGTGGGTACAGCTACCAGTAAGCTGGGTGACTGTGGGTACAGCTACCAATAAGCTGGGTGACTGTGGGTACAGCTACCTGTAAGCTGGGTGACTGTGGGTACAGCTACCAGTAAGCTGGGTGACTGTGGGTACAGCTACCAGTAAGCTGGGTGACTGTGGGTACAGCTACCAGTAAGCTGGGTGACTGTGGGTACAGCTACCAGTAAACTGGGTGCTTGTGGGTACAGCTACCAGTAAGCTGGGTGACTGTGGGTACAGCTACCAGTAAGCTGGGTGACTGTGGGTACAGCTACCAGTAAGCTGGGTGACTGTGGGTACAGCTACCAGTAAGCTGGGTGACTGTGGGTACAGCTACCAGTAAGCTGGGTGACTGTGGGTACAGCTACCAGTAAACTGGGTGCTTGTGGGTACAGCTACCAGTAAGCTGGGTGACTGTGGGTACAGCTACCAGTAAGCTGGGTGACTGTGGGTACAGCTACCAGTAAGCTGGGTGACTGTGGGTACAGCTACCAGTAAACTGGGTGCTTGTGGGTACAGCTACCAGTAGGCTGGGTGACTGTGGGTACAGCTACCATTAAACTGGGTGACTGGGGGGGGTACAGCTACCAGTAAGCTGGGTACCTGTGGATACAGCTACCAATAAGTTGCGTGACTGTTGTTACAGCCACCAGTAAGCCGGGTGCCTGTGGGGTACAGCTACCACTAATTAAGCTTGGTGAATGTGGGTACATTTACCTGTAAGCTGGGTGCCTATGGGTACAGCTACCAGTAATTAAGCTGGGTGCCTATGGGTACAGCTACCAGTAAGCTGGGTGCCTATGGGTACAGCTACCAGTAAGCTGGGTGCCTATGGGTACAGCTACCAGTAAGCTGGGTGCCTATGGGTACAGCTACCAGTAAGCTGGGTGCCTATGGGTACAGCTACCAGTAAGCTGGGTGCCTATGGGTACAGCTACCAGTAAGCTGGGTGCCTGTGGGGTACAGCTACCAGTAAGCTGGGTGCCTATGGGTACAGCTACCAGTAATTAAGCTGGGTGCCTATGGGTACAGCTACCAGTAATTAAGCTGGGTGACTGTGGGTACAGCTACCAGTAAGCTGGGTGACTGTGGGTACAGCTACCAGTAAGCTGGGTGACTGTGGGTACAGCTACCAGTAAGCTGGGTGACTGTGGTCGTGGTGTGGTGGTAGTTGTAGCCTGTAGCCAAGACTTACCATATCCTCGATCAAGGTCGTCCCCGGGCGCTGTGAAGGTCAGGGTAACTAGGTCGTTAGCTGCATGGCCTCTGAGGTCAGTGACCCGAGCTGGAGGGAAGACGTCCACTTGACCTGGCTCGCTCACCACAACAGCTGACCCAATCTGTCAACACATCCGGATTATCTACTGCCGCATTATTAATGGTTTTAACATGCTCTCATAGACCAGATTGCAGTTATATAGAAGCATTTTATGTTTCTTTTATGGGCCCAATATATATATGGAAGGGGTGATGTGGCATTAACACAAGACAGAACAAAATGTGGTATTAATAGGGTATTAATTTCATCAACACAAGACAGAACAAGGGTATTAATAGGGTATTAATTTCATCAACACAAGACAGAACACGAAACAATGGATATTGAATAGAAGTGTTTGTAGAAAGCCTATTGGTCCATATTTCTTGATGCTTCTATATTGGAGCGGAGTCTTGAGGTGGGTAGAATATAGTTGTGTAATAATTGGCTGTTGACTGTTGACCCCTTCCACCTCACTCAAATATAGATATAAAATCGGAGATACGTAAGTTCTATTCAGTTGTGTATTTGTGAACTAAAGTCTTTGAAAATGTAATAAGTTTTACGAAACGCGCCCGTGTCGCGTCAGACTAGAAATAAAAATGAATTTTGGAGAATTGATTTTTAATTTACCTCCAACAGTGAAGCGTAATGTACGAAAGATTGAGAAAATTCGTGTTAGAATTATTAATCTTACTTTTTCGGTCATATTTAATAATATATATATATATATATATATATATAGCTTTCCTTCTCTACTCCCCTTCGTCTCAGCAGGGTACAGTAGGGAATTGACGCTGCTGTTTGGGGAACATGAAGTTGTTTCTGCAGAAGGTGTCCAGCAGGGAGACCCACTTGCCCCTTTTCTTTTTTGCATGGCTGTTAAAGAGGTCACAAGCAGGTTGACCAGCGAACTCAACATCTGGTTCCTGGACGATGGCACCCTGGCAGGGACACAGGAGTCCCTGCTAGAAGATCTACAGCTGGTGAAATCTAAGGGAGAGGAGTTAGGACTCACCCTATACCCATTAAAGTGTGAAATCATCTCATCTAGCCAACCAACCATAGATGCAGTGCGAACCATATTGCCAGGAGCCCAAGTGATCGCTCCCACCGACAGTGTGCTGCTAGGGGCACCTCTGGGCTCGAGCGCCATTGAGGTAGTCCTCGAAGAAAAGCTGAACGACCTGAGGAGGATGTAGGGAAGAATAGGGGCTTTGGACGCCCACGATGCTTTGTACCTTCTCACAAGGTGCCTGGCTTTGCTCAGACTGACCTATTTCCTAAGGTGTGCTCCCTCCTTCGACAGCCCAAAATTAACAGAATATGACACACTCCTAAGGTCAATAACCGTGAAAGTGTTAAACCTCTCCCTGCAAGATGACCAATGGGACCAAGCAACGCTCCCAGTTAGACTCGGGGGAATAGGTATTCACAAGGCGACACAGTTAGCATTGCCAGCATTCTTATCTTCGACCAGTGCAACAGGTGAATTAGTTAAGGAAATACTACCGGAACACCTAAGAGACTCCATTGGGATTCATGATCCCAAATTCGCGGAAGGAGCCGGTCAGTGGGACACTCTTGTCAACTCTCATCCTCGACCGACTTTTCCAAATGACTGCAAACAGTCCAAATGGGATAGCCCCATAGTGGAGAACATCGCCACATCATTGCTGCCCAGCAAACACAGAAAGTTTGTGGACGTTTTTAAATGGTCCCACAAAGGTAATACTGTAACTTTTGACATAAATACGTATATCTGACGTTCTTAAAACCAAAGGATATAACTAAAAACATATATTCTTGAGACACAATTTTTTAAGATTTATGTAAAAATTTAAAAATAATAGTAAATGCTATGGAATTATAATGTTTTCATGCTTTATATTTAAGAATAAATAATTTTCAGTCAACATTTAGTTTTTTTTGTTTACTTTCTGTAAAGCTATCCAATTTACGTTCTTATAACATAAATATAACATTTATATGACGTCAGTATAACGTTATTTACACATCATTACGTTATTATGATGTTATATTAATGTATAATTCCTGTGTGAAAACCAGAATATATATTGAACTTTATGTTTTAAACCTTGTAAAGTTATCATAAAACTTGGAATAAGACGGTAAGCATGCTTTACTTATGAAAATATACAAACAAATCAACAAAAACATTTTAACATAAAAACATGAACAACATGAATAAAAACATGAATGAATTTGTAAAGAATTTTTTAATTTGAGTTAAACTAAATACAAACTTAATATGTTTTGCTAACGCAAAAATATATTCCCGAGGTATTGTAATTGCTAATAAATATTTAATACAATTATTTGTATCATTTTTTTTATTTTAGATTTCCGTATTGCTTGATAATATATAATAGCGTTTAGATAATGCTAGCGCTGGACATTCTTTAGGCTCGTTGCATGTTGTGGTAGTCGCCGCCATTTTAAAACCGTGTCGAGAGGGACTGCTGTTGGCTTATCCACAAAATCCTGCTGCATCTTCAATAGTTAAGGTAACTGTTTTCTTTTATTTGCTCTTAGACATGTGTAGTATATATATAAGCTTGTGGTGGTAGGCTGGATGGTGTGTTGATGGCCCTGGCTGGAGGTGTGTTGATGGTGGTGTTGTGTTGATGGCCCTGGCTAGAGGTGTGTTGATGGTGGTGTTGAGTTGATGGCCCTGGAGGCGTGTTGGTGGCCCTGGAGGTGTGTTGATGGCCCTGGAGACGTGTTGGTGGCCCTGGAGGTGTGTTGGTGGCCCTGGAGGTGTGTTGGTGGCCCTGGAGGTGTGTTGGTGGCCCTGGAGGTGTGTTGGTGGCCCTGGAGGTGTGTTGGTGGCCCTGGCTGGAGGTGTGTTGATGGTGGTGTTGTGTTGATGGCCCTGGAGGCGTGTTGATGGCCCTGGAGGTGTGTTGGTGGCCCTGGAGGTGTGTTGGTGGCCCTGGAGGTGTGTTGGTGGCCCTGGCTGGAGGTGTGTTGATGGTGGTGTTGTGTTGATGGCCCTGGAGGCGTGTTGATGGCCCTGGAGGTGTGTTGGTGGCCCTGGAGGTGTGTTGGTGGCCCTGGAGGTGTGTTGGTGGCCCTGGCTGGAGGTGTGTTGATGGTGGTGTTGTGTTGATGGCCCTGGAGGCGTGTTGATGGCCCTGGAGGTGTGTTGGTGGCCCTAGCTGGAGGTGTGTTGATGGCCCTATATATTTATATATATATATATATATATATATATATATATATATATATATATATATATATATATATATATATATATATATATATATATATATATATATATATTTCGAAGTGGGTTTCCACTTCGGCCAATCATTAGCCAGATACCCACACCCACGTACAGACTGGCGAAGCGACTCAACGGCCTGCTGACTCCTTATGTTCCTTGCGCCTTCAGCCTGAAGTCTCCAAAGGAATTTGTTGGCTTACTGCGGGGCACACGGGCCACAGGGATAAGAGCCTCGTTGGACGTAGAATCGCTGTTTACCAACGTACCTGTGGACGAGACAATCGGAATGATAGCCGACAGAGTGTATCGTGATCCAGCCTGTACTCCTCTTGACATACCAGAAAATATTCTGAGGAAACTACTCCAAGCTTGTACTAAAGAGGCACCCTTATTGAGCCCGGATGGGCACATGTATAAGCAAGTAGATGGGGTCGCCATGGGTTCTCCCCTAGGTGTCCTGTTTGCAAACTTCTATATGGGTATCATCGAGCAAAAAGTCTTAGTCGACATGAACTTGAAACCGGCCATATACTGCAGGTATGTTGACGACATTTTTACACAGGTACCTGATGTCAGACATCTGCAGGAGCTGAAGGAGGCATTTGAGCAGAGTTCCGTGCTGCGTTTCACTTACGAGATGGAAAAGGATGGGAAGCTGCCCTTTCTAGATGTAACAGTCATGGAAAAGGGCGGAGGTTTCCACACTGCAGTCTACACTAAGGAAACAAACATAGGAATGTGCCTAAATGCCAACAGCGACTGCCCCGACAGGTACAAGAGGAGTGTTGTTAACGCATATGTCGACCGTGCTCTCAGCCACAGCTCAGAATGGAAGCAAGTCGACGAAGAACTCTGTAGGGTAAGGCAGGTCCTAGTCAATAACGGCTTCTCCAATGGTTTCGTCGAAGACATCATAAGAAGGAAAGTGAAAAGCCATGCAACCTCTGAAGAGACAACTAACACAACACCTATACCCCCTATTAGACTATTTTACAGGAACTTCTTTTCCACAGCTCATAAAACGGAGGAAAGGGTCCTGAAAGATATTGTTAATAGAAACGTTATCCCTACAGACAAAAATCAGAGGATACAACTGACGATTTACTATAAAACCAGAAAAACGGCCAGCCTACTCATGAGAAACTCTCCAGACACAAAACAGAACGCTTTAAAAGAGACTAACGTCGTCTATGCCTTCAAATGCCCACTTGGGGACTGTAAGCTCCAAAAAACCCAGTATATAGGCAAGACAACAACATCTCTTTCTAGGCGTTTAACGATGCATAAGCAACAGGGCTCCATTAAGGAACATATAATCTCTTCCCACAACCAAACCATCGCCAGAGAAATCCTAGTAAACAACACAGAAATCATCGATAGATACAGCGATAGCAGGCGGCTTGACGTTTGCGAGGCACTACACATCAAGAAGTCAACACCAGCAATCAACAGCCAATTATTGCACAACTATATTCTACCCACCTCAAGACTCCGCTCCAATATAGAAGCATCAAGAAATATGGACCAATAGGCTTTCTACAAACACTTCTATTCAATACCCATTGTTTGTGTTCTGTCTTGTGTTGATACTTTTAATACCCTATTAATATCCCCTCTTGTTCTGTCTTGTGTTAATGCCACATCACCCCTCCCACCTCACTCAAATGTAGATATAAAATCGGAGATACGTAAGTTCTATTCAGTTGTGTATTTGTGAACTAAAGTCTTTGAAAATGTAATAAGTTTTACGAAACGCGCCTGTGTCGCGTCAGACTAGAAATAAAAATGAATTTTGGAGAATTAATTTTTTATTTACCTCCAACAGTGAAGCG